GGTTTTGACCAGGCATGCTATCCCTGGCACTCTGGCCTTCGGTGGAGTTCCCTGTGGGGCCTCGAAACGTGTGAGGGGTGCGCTGGATTGGTGTGGAGCTGCTAACGCAGCCACTGGGGCCTTAGGTGGAGCTCCCTGTGGGGCCACGAAACGTGTGAGGGGTGCGCAGGAATGGTGTGGACCAGGTATGCTGGCCCTGACACTGGGGCCTCGGGTGGCCACGAAGCGTGTGAGGGGGACGCAGACATGGACATGCGGAGGGCAGGGGCAGGAAGGGGGAGGAGGAAGAAGGAAGGAAGGAAGGGAAAAAGGGAGGGCGGGAAAGACTCATCCAGTCTCTCTCTCCTCACCCTTCCTCCTCCCGCCTCCTCCTCCTACTCATAATCCTCCTCCTCCTCCTCCTTCTCCGCTATCCTTTAGCTGCCCTTGGAGGGTCGTCCTTCGAGAGCGGTCCATACCATTATCCCCCTCGACATGGTCCACATTATCCCCCTGCTCCTCCTCCCCCTTCTCCTCCTGCTCCTACTCCCCCTACACTCTACTCTCCCTGAGTCTCCTCTCCTCTCCAGTTCTCCCTCCTCCCCTCGTCCTGCTCTTCCTCGTCCTCCTCCTCCTCGTCTTCCTCCATCGTCTCGTCCTCGATGCTACCTGGACTATTCCAACTTCACCTCCTCCACCGCCTCATCCTGCTCCTCCTCCTCCTCCCTCTCCTCCTGGTCATCATCCTTATCATCAACAACATCATCAGCGTACTGATCATCACCATCATACTATTCATGTTCATCTTCATAATCATCATCAGCATCATCAGCAGCATCACCACCATCACCAGCATCATCACCATCATCATCATCATCATTATCGTCGTCGTAAGCATCGTCAGCATCATCGTCAGCATCATCATCATCATCATCATCATCATCATCATCATCATCATCATCATCAGCAGCAACATCAGTATCATCAACAGCAGCATCGTAATCGGCATCAGTAGCATGATCATACACAGCATCGTAGTCATCATCAGCAAGAACATCAGCATCAGCATCAGCATCATCAGCATCATCATCACGATTCCATCATCATCAGCAGCAGCATCATCATCATACTCAGCAGCATCATCATCATCAATTGCATCAGCATCATCATCATCGTCATCGGCATCATGATCATCCTCACCATCGGAATCGTCATACATAGAAGCATCATCATCACCGTCGTCGTTCTTGTCATCGTGGTCATCAGCATCATCAGCATCAGCATCATCATCATCATCATCATCATCATCATCATTCGCAGCAGCATCCAAATCACCAACAAGAACGGCAACAACATCATCCGCCCACCACGGTCAGCAGCAGCATCATCACACTCAGCATACGCATCATCAATCCAACACCATCATCCCAATCAACAACATGATCACCCCAGAAGCGGCAACCTCATCAGCAACATTATAATCCCGTTCCCCGGATAATGAAGAGTAGCCCCCCCTCCCTTTAACCTCTGAGTGGTTATTATCCCCGGGTCAGACAAATTTGATTGTGGAGAGGGGCGGCGAGGCCGAACTTGATTATCGCGGGGGAAAGTTGCGAATCGAAAGTGCTACCTCCTTATGTTGACTGGCAACATCATCAAAAACGCTGAGCACGGCATTGGAGGTCTCACCATTTCAGCTTTCGCAAGTCACGAGCGTGTGGCAGGGCTAGATGCGAGATTCGAGGACACCAAGGACAGTGTTGTGCCAGGATCTGATTGCACGAGCGCCCAGGATCATCATCATCATCAGCATCCACATCAGCATCCACATCATCATCATCATCATCCTCCTCATCATCATCATCATCATCATCATCAGCAGCAGCAGCATCAGAATCATCATCATCAGCATCATGACCACCATCTTCATCACCACCATCCTCCGACGGGAAAAACGTTTAATATCCCCCCAGACCTCGAACTTGATTATCCCGAGCGGTTTATTATCAGTTGTATGGGGCTAGGTATCACCATCAGCATCATCATCAGCATCATCAACATCATCACGACCAGCATCGACATTATCATCCGCACCTTCACCACCACCACCACCACCACCCCCACCACCATCATCATCATCAGCATCATCATCATCATCATCATCATCAGCATCATCATTTTTCTTGTTCAGGATCATCATCATCATCATCATAATCGTCATCATCATCAGCATCATCATCATCATCATCATCATCATCATCATAATCGTCATCATCATCAGCATCATCATCATCATCATCAGCATCATCATCATCGTCATCATCATCATCGCCACCATCGCCATCACTACCACTCATCATCACCACAACCACCATCAGCATCGTCGTCAGTGTCGCCCCCACGTCTTGTGTTATTACCCGTCGGGCAGTTCGCCCGTCTGGGGACCTCCCCTCGAGAGTGTTCCCTATCGTTAACGTGCGCTCCTCCTCCACCTCCTCGGCATCGCCATTGCCGTCGTCACCACCATCAGCCTCATCATCAGCATCATCATCTCAAATCACAAGCATACCATCATCACAATCACCAGCAGCAACCGCAGAAGCATGATCATCATGATCATGATCATCAGCATCATCATCACCATCATCATCATCATCATCATCATCATCATCATCATCATCATCATCAGAGTCACCATCACAAAGCTCATCCTCATCCTCATCCTCATCATCCTCATCATCCTCATCATCCTCATCTTCATCCTCAGCCTCAGCACCACCATCGCTATCGCATGCAGCATCGTCATTACAATCACCCACCATCGCCACAACCAAAACCATCGTCGTCGTCACAATCATCCCCACATGACTTGCGCTATGCCAATTTCCCTTTCGGGCAGTCAGCCTGTCGGGGGTCGCCGTCGGAGAGTGATACCTGCCAGTATCCCGAGTCATGTTCCAGTTGTCCTCCTCCTTACCCTCCTTGTCCCCCTCCTGCTCTCCATCGTCATGTGTTTCATCCGCATACTCATCATCATCATCATCAGCATCATCAGCATCATCATCATCAGCAGCAGCATCATCATCATCAGCATCATCATCAGCAGCAGCATCAGCATCTTATTATCAGTATCATCCTCATCCTCATCCTAATCCACCTCGTCAGTATCATCATCAACAACATCATCATCAGCATCATCAGTCATCGGCATGATCATGCGCATCCTCAAACGAATCAGAATCATCAGCACCAACTTCGTCATCATCAGCAGCATCGTCAGCAACATCAGCATCACCAGCCTCGCCATCGGCGGGAAGGGCGGCCGCCAGCGCCTGGACCGGCCCTCCCATGATCGCCCCCGAAATATTCACCCGTCCACCCCAGTCCTCCCCGCTTCTCCCTCCTCTTCCCCCCTGTTCCTCCCCCTCATCCTCAGCCTGTCCCTCTCCCCTCCCCGTCCCCTCCCCTCCCCCGTCCCTCGTCCATCTCTCCTATCCCTCCTCCTCCTCCTCCTCCTCCTCCTCCTCCTCCTCCACCTCCTCCCCCTGTCCCTCCTCGCAACTGTCCCCCACCATTGCCCCCACCCTCTCCCCAAACCCTGCGTCTCATCCCTGCCCCTCACCGCCCCCTCTAAGGCGACGAGCCCTGCACACACGCATACATCCCTGGCAGGGCCAGGAGGGCGCGCGCCCCGATCCTGGGCCCTGGCAGGGGCATGGCCAAGGTCGGTGCCTGTGCGGCTGGTCTGGGAAACCCTGCACCCAAAAATGTTGCCACATCTTGGGGGCGCACGTTCTCCCCCTGCCAGCTTCCGCCGGCTTCCATCAAGAAAGAGATGCCAAAACCCTTCGACCCTCGAAAGCGAGGCCCTGTCTGAAACGCAGCTTGTATAGATCTCGTCGCCCGAACCTCCCCTTCCCTCTCCACCTCAAGCCCTCAGTCGGGGGGGGGGAGGGGGCGACGCGCGCGAGCGCAAACGCCTTCAGTTCATCTTGCTTGGCTAGATACCCAGGTATCTGAGCGCGGCAGGGCGCGAAGGAGGAGGAAGAGGAGCTGAGGCAGGCGGAGAAGAGGGAGGAGGAAGGGAAGGAGAACGACGGAGATGAGGATGAGCAGGAAGGGGAGGACCAAGAGGCAAAGAAGCAGGATGCGGAGGATGAGGATCCGAGGAGGAGGTCGAGGAGGACAAGGCGTGGAGGAGAAGGTGAAGGAAAAGGAAGGGGATTCAGAGAAAGGTGAGGAGGAGGAGGAGAAGGAGGAGGAAGAGGAGAAGAAGGAGGATACGAAGTGAACAAGGAAGAAGAGGAAAGAGAAGACGAGGAGGAAAGTAGAATGGGGACGAGACAGAGGAGGACGAGGAGGAGGCGGAGGAGGGCGACGAGGGAGAGGAACCCGAGAAGGAGGAGGCTCGACGACAGCAGAAGGACGAGGAAGAGGAGAAAGAGCAGACGCACGCACAAGATAGCGACCGGAACCGACAACCGGGAGCCGGCAACCCGGGACCGGCGAACGGAGACTCCGGCGGCTCGGGACCAGCGAGCGGGGGCTGGCGAACCCGGACCTCCGTCGAACCGGGGACACCTGCGAGCGGGGGCCTGGCGATCGGGGACCTGGAGAAGGGAGATTCCAGCGAGCGGGGAATCCGGCGAACGGGGACCAGCGGACAGGGACTCCGGCGGACACCTCCGACATCGGATCATCGGATGAGCACGAGGACGTCACCGACGACGGCAGGCTGAGGATTACAAGCCCTTTTGGGGGAGCTGGTGACCGGACAGCTGAAACGAAACAAAGTGAAGAGAAGTGCACCATGTTAGAGCTCTGCTCACCACCACGAGGGTAACGACAACGGGTAGGTCGGCCTGTCCCCCTACAGGCGGATTTTGAACGAACTTTTTTTATGCAAAAACATGGTCCCGAGACGATGTTTGAAATATTTTTGGATATTCCTCCTGCAGAGGGTCAGACCCGACTTACGCCAGCGGCGACGGCACCAGGGAGCGGTGGGCCTGCTTTGAGGATCAGGTGGGCGTGAAGGCGCCGGGCAGCCCCACCAGTACCACCTCGCCGGCCCGCGGAGGGGCGCTCGGGGGTGCGAGGCGCAGGGGGGGGCGGGGCGAAAGTCTGTCGTCCATCGTTCTTGGTGATCGTCGTCGTCGTCGTCCGCCCTTTCCCCTGGCTTCCCCTCCCCGTGCTCCTCCTCCCTCGTCCTGGTGCTGATCCTCCCCTTCCTCCCTTCTCCTTCTCGCCTTCCTTCGCCGCTGCTTTCTCCTCATGCTCCTCG